GGTAGGGGTAAGGGACAGGGTCGGGGAAGGGGGAGAAAAATACCGCAAACTTGTATGCACCATGTGAATCAAGTAAATTAAAAAAATAAATAAATTAAATAAAATAACATATAAAGGAACCACATTTTATATTTCTTTAATTCTCCACAGGCTATCATACAGTAACCTGATTTAAGTACTGAACACATTTTGGAAATTTTATGTCAATCTACAAATTTATTTTGTAGAATATACTATGCCCAAATAACACAACCAGAAAATATTTGAAGACAATATTTATTATTATCATCATCATATCTCTAAAACTTATAAAATTCTCCTGTCAGTGGATGGTTTGCTTTAATAAGACAAAAATATGACACCATTGTTTCAATGTAGCTTGCAGTGGGATACTATGGTCACTAGGGTGAGCTATTAGCCCTACCAGTCCAGTCATCTTTATCAGGAAAGTCTGAAAATCCCAGAAAGCTGTTCAGTGTCTAGAGTAGCTAATTCCTGAACCAAACTGAAAGTCACAGAACTTTTTCCAGACTGTCACAGGCACATGTCAGGAATTACCTCACCTCACCACTTTTTTGCTTTAAAACTGAGTATAGAATTGGGGGTGGTAGTGCACAACTGTAATCCCAGCACTCCATAGGCAGAGGTAGGAAGATTGCTAGTTTGAGACCAGCCTGGGCTACATAGTGAGGCTCCTAAACAAGGCTGTGTTACTGGATGACCTTGCAAGAAGGAGGAAATCTAAAAGAGCATTTGACTCCCAGCAACTGCTAAAACAAATAACCAAAAAAAAAAAATTGAGCAAATATGTATAGAATTCACTGTTCTAAAAAAGTTAACTGCTAATGTTAATGGTATAGTTATTCTGAGTTTCATAAAAGTTAGGTGGGAAACAGATTAAGAAATAACTATAATTAGAGTTACTATTTTTTTTTCTTTATTCGCAGTGCTGGGGATCAAACCCAGGGCCTAATGCATGCTAGGCAAGTGCTCTATCATTGAGCTATATTCCTAGCCCTAGAATTACTTTTATAAATGTAAACTCTTAGTTCTCAACTTTATAGGCTCTCTGATACTATACTCAATTACGATCATCATCATCGTCAAATCAAATTGATATTCATTAGGTTTAAGGACAGTAAAATGGGCTGGAGATGTAGCTCAGTAGAAGAGCTTTTGACTGGTTTGTGCAATACCCTGGGCTCGATTCCCAGCATTGCCAAAAAGAAAAATAAAAGACAAAGAAAAAAACAATACATTCACACCCTCCAAATTGAGCTTCCCTTGCTCAGCTCCCCAGCAGTTTTCTTTTGCCTATTTTTGTTTGGGATTTTAAAATTTTGAGGGGCTGGAGACAAGCTCAAGTGGTAGAGCACCTGCCTAGCAAGCACAAGGCCCTGAGTTCAAACCCCAGTTCAAAAAAGAAAAAAGAAAAAAATTGAAATAAAGCCGGTCTGTTATGGCAATTCTTACAGTGCATTGTAATTGGATCTCATGTTTGCTAATCCGTCCACTGTGAAATGCTTAAAGACAAGACCAAGTTTATTTGTATTTGTTTTCCTATTGCCTAGCAGAGGAGTAGTCCCTATGAAAATTTGTTTATAGAGATTTTGTGTATTAAGTAACGTTCAAATAGAAACTAGGTCTATGAAAAATTTTAATACAAGGTTGTTTGCTGGCTTGTAGAAGTACTTGCATGGCTGTCCATGATTGAATTTCATGTTTCAAAGCACTGTGCACTGAGTTTTTAAAAAATAGTTTTATTGCGATGTAATTATTAACATACCATTTTAAAGAGTTAAATTCTGAGGTTTGTGGTTGTTTTATTTATTTATTTAATATATTAAATAAATTTAATTATTTATTTAATATATTAAATAAATTTAATTATTTATTTAATTTATTAAATAAATTTATTTATTTATTTAATAAGTGATTAAATTAATAAATTTAATCACTTATTAGCAAACTTAATTAAAAATTTTATCTTCCAAGCTATAGTGTGCAACTAACTCAAGAATGTTTACAAAATTATGTATTTTTTTTCAGTGGCTGTTTTATTTATTTACTTTTTATTCATTTATTTGGTGCTGGGGACTGAACCCAGGGCTTTGCCCATGCTAAACACATGCTTTACCAATTGAGTACCTCTTTCTCCCCCTAGAGAGTTTGTTGTTTTTGTTTTGGTGCTGGGGGTTGCACTCAAGACATCCTACAACACCTGAAATCCTTGAGATTTGTTTTTAAAGAAAGAAATAGAAAGAGAAAAGGGCAGGGGACTCTTTTCCTTGATTTGCACAGTGATTTGTGCTGTGGTGCTGTGCTGTTCTGTTAACCACATGATATAAATCTAGATTATTTCTTGTTTGGATCAGGGGAAGAAGGTTACTAAGTGGTATCCAAATATGGGTAAGGGAGACTAAAGATGGAGGAACAGGAGAAGAAGAAAAGACTCTTCAGTATGTCTTCATGCTAGAAGACAAAAGGAAGTTGTGTTGAGAGGAGTATTATGTCTGGTGTGGAGACACTTTGGTGTAAATCTGATCTCTACTCACAATCCATGAATATTCTGTAATATTCATCCTAGAATCAGAGCCTCATTCCTTCAGACATAGCTATCCAGGTCACCTATAAACTGGAATAATTCATTTTTTCCCTTATTTTCCAAAATCTTACTGTATTAGTTGTCTACTTGGTGCTGGGAAATTGAACCCTAAACATTTATCACATAGTTTCCATGAGTCTGGATTTGGGGAGTGGTTTAGCTGGGTGATAATTGTGGTTGAGGTTTCTTACCCCATCTTGGCTGTCAAGATGGCAGCTGGGCCTTCAGTCATTGGCAGGCATGATTGGGGTTAAATGATTCATATCCCAAGAAGAGCTTATGAACATGGATGGTAAGCTGGTGTTGATTATTGGTGTGATGCTCAGTTCCTTGCCAAGAGATCTCTCCATGGGGCTGCTTGGGTGTCCTCATGATATGACAACAGTTCCTTTCTAAGTGATCCAAGAGACCATAAGGCAGAAACAGCAGTATCTTTTTAGGACAGAGCTTTAATATTCACACACTATTAACACACAGAAATTTCTGGAAAATCCTATTGATTACATAGGTCGGCCCAATTCATTATGAGGAATGACTACATAGGGAGACTGAGATCATTGGGGACTATCTTAAAGGTTGGTTACATTTATTTCTTCTAAATAATATATATAATATTAGTTATGCATTAGATATAGTTATTCACTAGTTCCAATTTCTATCATCTATTTGTCTGTCTGTCTATCTAGAGAATTCCTGAATTCTAGGACTAGCTCTTGAATAATATATTACATCACCAATCATCCTAATTGAAAAAATATCTCTGGGGACAGATCAAAATTCTTAAGGGAAAAGACCAGGGAATGGGGGAGGATTTTATTGCTAGATATAATTTCAATGAATCGGACATTTTTCCCTATATACTTTTTTAAGTAAAAAAAAAAAAATTATAGGAACCTTAATCCTTTCCTCACATTATGCACCTGGTCAATACTGTGAACTTGTGGTTTTAATCAGTAGAAAAAAAGCAATTTGGCAACTTTGTGTTTGAATGGGACAGGATGGGCCGCATCATCAGTTGCCTTTAATGTACATTTTGTCCTGCTTTTTCAAGAGTCTGGACATGACAGACAGTAGGGACGCCATCTTATTTTATTTTATTTATTTATTTATTTTAAGAATGTCAATAGGCTGTAGCACTTCCTGAACAAGATCAAACCGATTCTTCTAAGAACACTTCTGGAGATTGGATACAGGACTTTTTCTATTCTGAATCAGCTTTAATGGTAAAGTAAATTGATTGAAGAAAAATTTTAAAGTAAAAGTGAAGCTTAGAATTCATTGTATCCTTTCTCTCCCTAGCAAATCCCTGAGAGTCATTGTTGATTTTTAAGAAGGGCATTGGACATGGGGAGTCTTAACAGACTGGAGTTTGGGTTCTACCACTAGTTAGCTTTATAGCCTTGGGAAAGTTGTTTAACCTCTTTGAGTTTTATGTAAATTGATCAGAAAAGATGGGGAGTGGGGGGCGCTAATCCTTCCCAGAAGAGGCTGGCAGTAAATGTAAATTTATAATCAACACTAAATGCAAATCCTTGCCACAAACCTAATTGCTCCACTCGCCTGGCTATTCTTTGAGTCTCTGAGCAGCAACTCCTGCACACTCTGGCTTAGAATCCTATCCGGATGGATCATGGAGTCTTTGGCTGGTGGTGTTTCACAAGCGGGCATGAAATCTGGTTCTTGGTAAAGTCACCCCCATTTCCAGGCTCAAAATGCCTTTGCAATTCCCTCGCCTGCATGGCCCTCCCGGGGATTAGTTTCGGATTAGGCAGGGTTCTGGGGACGGCGCCAATTCGCCAACTCTGATTCTGATTAAGCAGTGCCCGGGCCTCATGATTCGCAGCCCTTCATCGCGACTGCCTCCGCGTGTACATTCACATGGTGACAAAGCATTACTGATTTTCTTCCAAAAAGCCCACCCTGGGGTTACAACCATGCCAAGTTAACTGCTGAGCATGGAGAACACCTACGCGCGTCAACCACTAGCCTCAGAAGCCGTACGTCTCTCCTCCCTCCCGGCGGGCAAGTTGCGGTGGTAGTTGGAACTACGAGACCCAGAATCCCTGCGCGCATGCGTGCTGCCATTGTGATGCTCCTTTCCCGGTAACTCGCCCTCTCAGGCAAACCTGAAGATAGCGGCAATTCTCCGGTGGGGGGCGGAGACGCTCTCTGCCTGACTCCCTGCCCCCGTCGTGATAGGCAATTGGATCAGCCAACCGACGCTGCGGGCTTGGACCGCGCTGCCCAATCAGCAGCTGTTTTGAGAGGTAGGCGTGCGCAGTGGCAGGGCAGGTGGGCTAGGCTGTGCCGGGTTGCGAAGGGGGAGAATAACGTCGGGTCGGGTCAGCGGGCGCTGCAGTAGTCGCCGCAGCGGCGATGGGAGCGGTGGGGACGAGGCGGCGGCGGCGGCAGGAGGAGGAGCAGGGGCTGGCACGGGAGCAACGGCTTGGGGCGGCCAGCAGTAACAGCAGCAGCCGCCGCCGCCGCCAGTAGACGCCGACTGTACCTGAGGGGACGACTCAACCGGCCGGCCCTCTAAGCCGCGCTCGGGTCCCGCCGCAGTGGGCGGCGGGGGATGGGCAGGCGGCGGCGGTCCCGCCTGCTGAGGGTTGTCCCCTGCCGGTCCCGGCCCTGAGCTGGACCTCAGTCCTCCGCCCGAAATCCCCGCGTCCGCCTCGGCCCAGGTAGGACACCCCCCCCCCCTTCCCGAAAGCCCCGGTCGCCACGGGGTAGCCAGGGTCCCACCAGTGCTGACCCTTCCACCTGCCGCACCCTTGGAGAGGAAGAGAGGGGTACCCAAGGCTCTTTAGGGCGCCGCCCACGCCCTAGGCTCGTGCAAGACCCAGTTAGTCTTCGCATCGGTTCTGGTTCTGTCCATTTTCCCGAAGGGTGCTGCCACGTTTCCTCTTAGGCTTTGGGTGTCATCGCTGAACTTGGAGGGTCACGAAGCTTTATCTGTTTTTCTGTCTGAGGGTGACCCATATATCACTTATACTCTTCTGTTACAGGGAGCGAACACAGAATTCTGGAAAAAAAACAAAAACAAAAACAAAAAAAATCGTTTCTTTCCCATCCGCTTCCCCCACTATAATGGAGGGGGCCATGGGACTGTGGAATCTGCCCTAGGTATTGTGTGGAGGACTTTCTGGTACTTAGTGAGAGTGTTGAAGTAATGACCCGAGGGATTCGCTTGTCATTTGCTTTGACAAAGATGATGATGTTGACACCCTGGGATGCTGCAGGACGGACAAAGGACCCCACACCTATGTCCTGTCAAATCAGAGGAGTAAATAAACCATTGGGATCACAGGATAACTTTATTCTGCAATGAAGTTAATTTCGTTTCAGTCGTGGCTGCATTAGAGGGAAAAATGACATTGAGTTGTACTTTGCTTTGAATTAAAGTTGATAGGTGGCAGCAATGCTGGCATTAACTCATCTCTTCCCTCGCTTTGGAAATGTTCTTTCTTGGAACATTAAAGAGGACAGTTTTATTATAACCTGTGTATGCTGCGAAGATGTTTTGTTGTTCAGCAGAAATGAGTTTTTGTGTGTGTGGGCGGGTCATGTTATGAATGGGCACATGTGTGTACACACACACACACACACACACGCGCGCGCGCGCACACACACCGGGAGCCAGTCTGTTTTGTCACATGTGTACACACACACGCGCACCGGGAGCCACTCTGTTTTGTTAGTGTTTGCTTCTGAGCCATTAATAACAGCTGCGTTGGTGTTTAAATGCGGACTTGCCAGGATAGACCACAAAGATGTGTCTGCTCTTTGGCTAAATTGGATAAAATGACATTTCTTTCGGAGAGAAAAACGGGAAATGATTTTTAAATATTGAGGGAGTTGAACACTAGGTATTGCCATGGTGATGACAAATATAACTTAATATGACTAATCTTGAAGAATTTGTCTTAAATCTAAATATTTCAAATAATAACTGTGTGTGAACTTGGGGTGATATATTATTATCTATTCAAGTTAAAAACATTGAAAGGAATCTTTAACTTAGAGGCTGTGTTTCCTTTATGATGCATTTTTATCATGGCACCAAAACGGATGCTTGAAGTATGATTATAAAGGAAAGTTTTTCTAATATTTTTCCTTTCTGGTAGAATGTTAAGAAATGCTTTTTTTTTTTTTTTTTAATCTTCCAGCTTTGGACACATAAAAGAAATTAAAGTTCATAGCTTCATTAACTCAATTTATAATACCAAATTAAAGCAAATTTGATCTTGAATAGGGAGCTAAGGATAATATATTTTGCTGATTATCTTGTACTGTGGTTCATACATAATTTAGTAAATCTCTATTATATTATACATGACTTCTGATTTGTATGTCTTCTTTTGGCTTTTAAGTACTGATTATTTTAATACCTCAGGAAAGCTGGGCAAATTGAACTCAATTATATAGAGTTTCATACATCTTTAAATGTACTGTTAGAAGTGAAGTTTGTTTAATTTAGACAATTTTGAGGTCATTTTACCAAAATGCATTAAAATGTGGCAGTGATAGGTTGTTGGTTTTTCAAAGGAGATGAATACTACAAAGCTGGGTTAGCTACTATGGTCATGGAATTTAAATCTCATTTTGGTGATAAGCAGGCAATTTTTATATGGTTTCCATATTTAAGAAGTAATTTATTAGCAGGGTGCCACTGATTCATGCCTGTAATCCTAGCTACTCAGGAGACAGATCAGAAGGATCAAGGTTCAAATCCAGCCTGGGCAAATAGTTTTCAAGACCCTATCTCGAAAAAACCTGTCATAAGAAAAAGGGCTGGTGGAGTGGCTCAAGTGGTAGAGCTCCTGCCTTGCCCCCTGAGTAGAAACCCCAGTTTACCACTAAGAAGTAATTTATTGATGGAGGGGGTGAATTTGACTAAGATACTTTGTAAGCACTTTTGTAAATGTCACAGTGTCCCCCTAGTACAACAATAGTATGATAATAAAATTTTTTAAAAAAAGAGTGGATTAGGGGTGGTGGAGTGGCTCAAATAGAGTGCCTACCTAGCAACCCCAGTACTGCCAAAAAAAAAGATAAAAAAAATGTAATATAGGATTGGGGATGTGGCTTAAGTGGTAGCATACCTGCATTGAAGTGCAAAGCCCAGTACCCCAAAAGAAGTAGTAGTAGCATGTACAGATGACAACTTGATTGGGACTTATGAGACTCCTTGAGCTGAACTACCCAGCTAAGACACTTTTTTTGTGGCAGTACTGGGGTTTGAATTCAGGGCCTCATACTTGCTAGGAAGCTTCTCTACCACTTGGGCCACACCCCTAGCCCTTTATGCTTTAGTTATTTTTTGGATAGGTTCTTATGTTTTTACCCAGGGCAGGCTTGGACCACGATCCTCCTACGTATTATCTCCACTATAGCTGGGATTATAGACATGTACCACCATACCCAGTTTATTCATTGAGATGGGGGGGGTCTCACTAACTTTTTTCCCCAAGCTAGTTTTGAACTGAATCAAGATCCTCTTGATCTTGGCCTCCTGAGTAGCTGGAATTATAGGGGTGAGCCACCATGCCTGATCACTTTCAGATTCTTTTTTGGTGATACTGGGGTTTGAACTCAGGGCTTTGTGCATGCAAAGTAGGCTCTCTATAGCTTGAGCCACACCTCCAGTCCATTTTGCTCTGGTTATTTTGGAGATGAGGTCTTGAGAATTATTTGCCTGGTCTGGCCTCAAACCTCAGTCTTCCCAATCTCAGCCTCCTAAGTAGCTAGCATTACAGGCTTGAGCCACCTGCACCTGGCTTCAGATTCTTAAACCTTAGAAACTATATGAAATAATACATGTTTGTTACTTTAAAGACTTTATAACGGGAAATTTTTTTGTGTGTGTGGTACTGGGATTTGTACTCAGGGCTCATACACTTGCTAGGCAGGAGTTTTACTTCTTGAGCCATGCCTTCAACACTTTTAACTCTGGTTATTTTGGAGATAGGGTCTTTCTTTTTGCCAGTGTTGCCTAGATCTCGATCCTCCTATTTTATGTTTCCTGCCATTGCCAAGATGACAGGCATGCCACTATGCCCAGCTATTGTTTGAGATGGGGCTCTTGGGAACTTTTTTGCCCTAGCTGGCCTTGAATTGTGATCCTCCTGATCTCAGCATTCCAAGTAGTTAGGATTACAGGTGTGAGCCACCCCTGGTGCTCATCTTATACAAGGGAGAATATTAATGACCATTATGAGCTAGTGTGAGATGGATTGACCAGCAGATACAGCAACTTGATTGAACATATAGTACTTACAGACTTCTCTGAACATTTTGGATTTTTTCCCATGATTTTACCTTTGTGTATAAGGTAGTTGATTTTTATTTTTAATGGAACAGGATAACTTTAAACTCCTTAAGTGATTCTCCTACCTTAGCTGCTCAAGTGGCTGAGGCTACAGTTGTATACCACCACACCTATCTTATTTGAGGCATTAACAGCTGTTTCTTAAATTGTGTTATAGGAATTTATTTTCACTTCAATCAGGGTAAAGCGTCCCAAAGTAAAAAGTTAACTGTTCTTTGAAAAGAATCTGGATCTATAATCGTGTGTCCTGAGGAATGGAAGGTAGAAATAACTTCTTAGTTCCCTTCGGTAAGCTGTCCAGCTTTAACTTATGTTTTAAGAATCATTATTTATTTAATAGACTATATCTTTATTGCAAATAGAAATCAGTATTTTTTGTTTGAACTAGAAAATATATTTTCCATTATGTCTCTTTTTAGCAACATGCTTTTATTATTTATTTATGCATGTGTGTATATATATATGTATATATATACACACACATATACCCTTGCATATATATGTATATATATATATGAATATGTGTATACATGGGATACTAGGAATTGAACCCAACAGCTTGTATATGCTAGTCAGGTGCTCTACCACTGAGCTACACCCCTTTTTATTTTATTTTATTTTGACACAGGGCTTCCATAAATTGCCCAGACTGGCCTGGTACTTGTAATCCTTCCTCCTCACCCTCCAGAGTAGCTGAAATTGCAGGCATGTGCCACTACTACAGCCAGCTCATTAATATTTTATACCTGTCTTTTTCTTCTTTCTGTAGTATCCAAATAGTTGCCTTTAAAAAATGAGGCTGCAAGCTTGGCACTGGGGGCTCACACCTGTAATACTTGCTACTCAGGCAGAGATCAAGAGGACTGAAGTTTGAAGCCAGCCCAGGCAAATAATTCTTGAGACCCTATCTCAAAATTACCCAATACAAAAAAAGGCTGGCAGAGTGGCTCAACTGGTAGAGTGCCTGCCTAGCAAGCCCTGAGTTCAAATCCCAGAATCACCAAAAAAAAAAAAAAAGAGTTTGCATTGTTTCTCTTAGTTTGTGTGGTCATTTAAGTACTTTATTTCATTAATATTTGTCTGAGAGTTGTCTGCATGTTGTATATTATGAATTAGGATTGATCCATGAAGTTTCTCAGTTTCTCAAAAATGGTTTTATCAACATTTTTTCAATGACTAATAAGGCAGAGATGAGAGGACTAAAGTAGGAAAAAATGAATGACCAAAGAGAAAAATGTCAGCCACACCTCTTATGAAATTTGTGTAAAAATCATCTGGAAACTAAATTATATGATAGATAGTAAACTAGATTAGGCCTTTTTGCTGGACCTTCAATAGTACTTTAAAATTTTA